GGCACTCGAGAAACCGGCCCTAAGAGGTCTTAAACAATTTAATACATATTTGCTTTTTTTAGATGAACCATAATGAACGATTCTATTAGTCAAGTTTTATTTCCAATAAATAATAAACGTAAGTAATTTTTAAAAAAATTTAAAAATGTTTAAATGAAAAGTAGGTAATAGATAAATAAAAATAAAAAAATATTTTCAGTACAGAAAAGATTTTTCCAGTTCAGTAAATATTCCTCAAAAAATAATCTTTAACACTATGATAAAAAAATAAAAAAAACAAGTTCTATTTACTTGAGGGAAGATTATATCTATTATATTACTTTGTTAAAAATGGATTGGTAAAATTAAGTAACTAAGTAAGCTAAGTAACTACAGAAAAGGTACTACTAATAAAAATATTTCTGTTTATTTTGTATTTGCTCTGGGTCATGTGTGTTGTTTTTTTGTTGTTGTGAGAGTAACTATTTTATTGGTAAAATTTCGTTCGTTGATGGGTTGGGTTTACTATTTTATTGGTTAGATTTATCAATCTATTGTTTTTGTTTGTATAAATATTATCCCAAGTTATTTTAAAGTCTTGAAAATATATACACTCCTTAACCGATAGTTGGTGCCACCATTTGAAATCGGGGGAGAAAGCTTTTCACTTATGAATCGTCGCGCGCAGCTGTTTTTAGTTCTCGAAGAAGCTTTGACTTGTCTTCGGCCTCTCTCCAGATTTAGTAGATTCGTAGCGCTGTGAAAAGGCAGAAATAGGCGATAGCCAACGGAACAGTCCCCGTCTGATTTATTTACCTTGTAATTCAATTAACTGGAGGAAAATGCTGAGGTACGCGGTAATTGCCTGTGCTGTTCTGGTGGCCTGTGCGGGAGCCCTGGAGTTCAGCGATTGCGGATCGAAGACGGGCAAGTTCACGAGGGTGGCCATCGAGGGATGTGACACCACCAAGGCGGAGTGCATCCTCAAGAGGAACACCACGGTCAGCTTCTCCATCGATTTCGCTCTGGCCGAGGAGGCCACAGCAGTGAAGACGGTGGTCCATGGAAAGGTCCTGGGCATCGAGATGCCCTTCCCGCTGGCAAATCCGGATGCCTGTGTGGACAGCGGACTGAAGTGCCCCCTCGAGAAGGAGGAGTCCTATCGCTATACGGCCACCTTGCCGGTCCTGAAATCCTATCCCAAGGTCTCGGTTCTCGTCAAGTGGGAGCTGCAGGATCAGGATGGTGCGGACATCATCTGCGTTGAGATTCCCGCTAAAATTCAGTAGGCCATTCAGCGGGAACCCTCTAATTTAACCTCGAAATTCTGAAGAGAGAGCGCGAAGAGCGCTTCGGTTTTCCCTCTCCATTGTAATCTAATTTAAAATAAAGAAATTTAAACTTAAACGAATAGTTTGAAATTCGGAATATTTAAGATTTCCTAACTATAGTTAGGATCTAACCCCCTAAAACTAGACTGAGTATCAAAAGACCCAGGTCAAGTTATTTTCTATTCATAAAGCAGCTTTTCTGAATTAATTGTTTATATTGTGCAACTTAGTTATTATTATTTCCTCAAAGATTTTATAAAAATAAGCTCAAAATCCTAGGGAGAGTTGATGAATGAGTAATCTTATATGCAATCTCTGAGCGGAAGCCTCAAGTTCAGATTTTTCTCTCTTATTGTAAACCAATTTAAGATAATCTGTTGTGCGGGTCTTGAGTCGCTCTTTTTGTAGGCCTTTTTTTTTATTATTATTTCCTTTTGTTTGCCTTGATTGCATCTTCCGCTTTGATGAAAATGAGACAAAGGCGGAAAAATAAAGAGATAAATCACAGAAAACTGTTTCTTCAATGACTTCTGTTAACAGGCGAAGAACAGAAAATCTATTACCCTTAGTATAAAAAAATTGTATTTTTAAATACAAATTTTAAACAATTTTTTTATATTTATCAATGGGGTTTCATTCTTCAAAAAAGTCAATTGTCCCGCAATCGTAAAATAAAATAATCTACTGTTTTCTTTGTGCAAAAGATAAGTTGATATCAGTGGGAAAATTAAGTGCACTGAGAGAAATAAGATTGAAAATCAATAAAGCTGAAGCAATATTTGTTATCCGAATATCTTATCTAAATCTTATGGAATTCAACTGAGGTAATATTGAGATATAAATAAAAAAAAATTAATAATAATGCAATAAATTGACAAATACCTTCTAGTAATTATGAAATAAAATAAATTGTCTTGATTTGATAAGTTGACTTGGTTCAGAAATTGCAGGTTTGCCTTGTGACATTATAATGCAATCCTGAAACTCGACTCGCTGACTTATCTTTTCTCTCTTTTTTCAGTAGTCATACCAACTACATTGTTTTCTCAGCTCCTTCAGCTGACGTGCTCATACTCAACTGTCATGCCGAAGATAATGAGTAAGCGGCTCTATCGGAATCGAAAACAATGCTCATCAGTGTTTTGGTTTCGGTTTCGATTACGGTCTAGAGTTCGCATTGCTATTCTCATTTTCTGTTCTCCGTTCTTCCGAACAAAGAATAGCCTGATAAGACGCCAAAAACAACTGAAATATCGCAAAATAGCGGAGGGTGGGGTGGGTTTTTCGGGGAGGTTCTAGGGGTAGCAGCTGAAACCAAGTAAAAACACAAATCAACTGCAGCAGAGCTTTCCATTTCGTTTTCTCAATTTCCATTCCTTTTTCAGCCAAAACACACTCATACACACACACAAATTCGCAAGCCATATGGCCATATGCAAATAATACAGGGGGAGGGGGTGGTGAAAAGGGGGGTAAGAGGGGCTATAGTGGGTGGTGCATCAGATAGAATTATCCGCAGTGCGCTAGCACGGGGATATTTAAGCAAAGAAATCGCTTTATTACATTCACTTTGCGCCACGAGTCGCTGGAAATGCAATTCCGACTCTGATTCGGTGTCGGATTTGGTTTTGGATTTGGGATTCCGTTTCGAGAGTTCATTTTTTGTGGTCTTTGAGATAGTTTGATCCGGCTTATGTGCATATAAATGCCAGTATAACTTAAGGATTGATGATTTTGATATGCCAGATTTTCTTGTTGGCCTTTTACGGTTTAGTGTATTTTTAAAAATATTTTTGTGTAATTTTTCAAATAATAATAATGCCAAATTTATGAATATGAATTAAATTATTTAAAAAATAAACTAATAAAATTAAGCATCCTTAATTTAAGAATTACATAACATAATGATAAAAAATTTACCAAAATCGAGACAAAATTAAAAAAAAACATAGCCAATGTCATTAAATTTCAGCTTCCGGTTAGGACTTCTGCAAGTCAGTTCTGTAAGAAAAAAAAAAGTCCACTCCCTCTGATGTTTTCACTTGATTTACATATGAATCCGCATAAAGCACGGCAGTCCGAAACTGCAAAGAAATGTGGGCCAAGCCCCGAGTCCATCCTCTTAACCCACCGATGCGACGCCTAGCAGCCCCCTTAACCCATCTGTAGACACAGCTGACGTTTAAAAACTTGACACAACGCTGCATGCAAAAGTGGGTGGCAATGGGCGGTGCTGAGTAGAAAGGGGCGGCAGGAAGAATAAAAATGGGAAATGAAAAGAAATGTAGGCGGATGTGGGTACACTAAAAGAATAATATATCCTTGGGAATAAATATATGTAAATATCCTGAATAACAAACTTAGCTGTACAACTTTACTATTTAAATTCCTTTATTTTCTGAACTTCGTACAAAATAAAGTTAAAATAATATTTCCGTTATTTTAAATTATTTTCTTTAGTACAAAAATTTAAATATTTAAAGGGTAAATATTTATCACTAAAATATCATTATTTTAAACTCTTTATGTAAAATAGATTAAAACAATTATAATTGCAATTATTATAAAATATTCCTTTCAAAAATAAATTATTTAAACAGGTCATGTGGACTGGTTGGAATGGCATTATTATTTAATTTTATTTTCTGTGCATTTCTGGTATCTCTGCTTCTGGTTGCATATCGTATGAGTTAACCGCCCACCGGGCGCCAACCCCCTACTATCCACCCTCTCCCTTTTGTAAGCCGCTGTGTCTGCACAGAATTTCTTGCATAAATAGCAGCATGTGCGGAGATCTCTCTTTGTCTGCGGAATAAAAATATAAAAACATTTCTGCTCTGGCTGCATTTAAAAGTAAAATGCAACTTCCGCCCCCAATCGAATGTTAATGTTATATGAACAATTTTCGTTGCCATGCGGTTTGCCATTGTAAATAAATTCCGAACTCCGGTTCTGGCCGTGTCATTTTTTGGTCACTGCACAAATCGAGTTTTCTTGTTTGACTCTGCAGCATTTAATTCCGTTAATTACGAGTCCCCACTTTAAAGGGGGGTGTAAGTGTCCCCTTCTTCTGTCGCTGACAGTCTGCCAACTTTATGTTTATTTTTATTTTCATTATGTTTTCATATTTTTTGTTTTGAAGTGCTTTTAGTGGTGTCTAAACTTTAAAATTCTGTGGGCGAAATGGCTTGATTAATTGTTAAAGTTGGCAATTTGTTTATGGCACATGTCATTGCTGCAATATGACGATAATAATGTGAAACTTTTTTATTTAAGCTAGTTTGCATTGGCTGTTAGAAATATCTCCCTTGCCCTTATTGCTTTGAAGGATTTTTCTTGATTATCTTGGCCTAGATGGAAAACTTAAGTTCAAAGCTGGCCCAATTAGAAGAATGACTTGATGATGAGAAGATGAAGAGTAAAGAAATTAAACATCCTGAAACACTACAAAAATTAGTCATTATAATTTGTATCCCTTATATTGTATTCTCTTCTTCTCTGAGATATCACTCTATTTTAATATTATTATATTTCAGAATTTCGAATTAAATTTAACAATGATCGGACGACTTTATAAAATAGCTTCCATAGGAAGGCTAAATAAATTAATGACAAAATAAAACCAAATTGAACATTTTGAAATTTTTAATTTATTAGGGTTGACAATTTTTGTGGTTGGGGACTGTTTGACAATATTTTTGGTTAACCAAGTTTTTTGTTTGTGTGTTGTCTGAGTTTCTTCCTAAGTTTCTTTTCGGTTTTAAGGAAGCAATCGAATTTCTGAGAGGACTCTTCGCACTTATTGGCATCCTTGATGGAGTTGCAGTTGTGTTTTTCTCCCTTGAACCTTTTCCTTAAAACATCCAAAATAGCTGATCGCTGGAAGATACAATTTATAAAGCACTTGACATTGTGAGGATTTTTCTTTTCTTTGTAACTCATCATAACACCAATGGCTTCATTATGAGTAATTTTATTCCTCTTGGCACATTCATGTGCGGTTTTTACAAAACTTGGCTGTAAAAATAAAAAATAATACTTTAAATTGGAAATGCTGTGTTATAGATTTACTTACCTCCGGAGTGTCCAAAACTGAGAGCGTAACTAGAAATGTAGAAATCAGCAGCACCTTCATTTCGCAGAACGTTTTTCGTTCTAGCTTTCAGATATCGCATCTCCACTTTAAAAAGATTCATAAATTTTACACCCCTGTTAAAATTTTTACGGCTTTTTACACTTATTAACTATAATAAATAAGTAAATAAATTAAATTGTGCTAACTTGGTCAATTAATAATATTTACTTTATTTAAAAATCAACTATTTAGGTAGCGGGATATCTTGAAGTTTAATCAGGCAATCGTATAGCTGAAAGGACTTTTCGCACTTATCGATATGCTTGGTCCTGAAAACATTGCAGATAGGATTTCCTACTTCGAGTGATAACCCATCAAGCTTTGCATGCTCAAAGATACAATTTATAAAGCACTTGACATTGCGAGTTTCATTGTCTATTACTGCGGACGGCAGTACACGTAGTGACGAAACGCACAAGATGAGTGTGTGAAGGCAACTACTATATATAGCCGCATAAATGAAAATCTGCTGTGATTCGGAACATAATAGTAATACATAGAGTAATACATCAATCGAAAGGTATCGCAAAAACTAAAAGGATACCAAAGCATACCAAGACCTAAACAATTTTCATCGTTGTACATTCGACTAAATAAATATACCATTTTATAAAACATTCTCATTTGCTACGCTGCAAATATGCTTTTGAAGGCGAAATGGTTATTATTTTACTGAAGCGGACCGAATGAGAATATTTTATAAAGTATATAAATATTTATTAGGTCAAATGTACAAGCATTTTTCGGCACAAAATTTGATATCAGAACTTTTGTATGTTGATAGTACGATCGTCACGACCCTTTAACTCGTTAAGAGGTGTTTTTTTTTTATTTGTAATATTTGTAATTTCCTATATTAAGAAACAATTATTCAGATACACGTTTTCCGTATAAGAACGATTTTACGGTTTGTACACTTAATATTCATAAATATAAAATATATAATATTGTAGTTTCCGATGTCGATCGTTTCATTATCATTATCCTTTCTTATCTTGCTTAATTTTTTGGCTGATTTTAAGGAAGCACTCGAATTTCTTAAAGGATTCCTCGCACTTATCAGCATCTTTGATGGAATCACAGTTTTGTTTTTGCCCTTTCAACCTCTTCCTTATAACGTCCAATACGGGTGATCGCTCGAAGACACATTTTATGAAGCACTTTAACTTATGGGTCTTATTTTTCGTTTTGTAACTTTTCATAATATGCAAGGCATCTTCTGTAGGAATTTGGTTGACCTTGGCACATTCTTTTGAGGCTTTTACTACGGGCCGCTATAGAAATAAAGGAAATTATTATGCTAATGATTTGGTATTATTTGACTTACCTCCGAAGTCGCCAGAACTGAGAGGCTAACTAGAAAAAAAGAAATTAGCAACACCTTCATTTCGCAGAACGTTTTTCTTTGTAATTTTCGGATCTCGCAACTTCTCTTTAAATAGATTTTTAAATTTTACACACCTATTACAAATTTTACGGCTTTATACACTTATTAACTATATTAAGATACGGTTATATAAATAAATAAATAGGTAGCATAATTTTATGTAATATTTACTTTAATTTGAACTTTTTCTTTTTTGTTTTCTTCAATCATGCATTCGTATATTCCAAAAGACTCTTCGCACTTATCGCTATGATTGCTCTTGAAAATTTCGCAGATTCGATAATATAATCCAATCCAATCCGACCCATCCAACTCTACGCGCTTAAAGATACAATTTATGAAGCACTTGACATTGCGAGCTTCATTTTTAACTATGTCACCTGTCACAAGAATCAGGGATTCTACTTCAGGAACTTGGTTGTTCTTGGCACATTCCAAGCTACTGCGTGAGATTGTTTGGCCTACCGTTGAATGGCTAGAACTGAGACGCCAACAGAAATCAAAAACACATAATAATAATGTTGATAATTTCTTAAATTAAGACACAATTATTCAGATAAAAGTTTCCCTTATAAGAAAGATTTTACGGTTTTTACACCAAATTCATAAATATAATTTATGTAAAATTATTGTAGTTTCCGATGTCGATCATTTTCGTTATCATTATCCTTTCTTATCTTGCTTCCGTAATTGATTTTCGATTTTAAGGAAGCATTTGAATTTCTTAAAGGACGCTTCGCACTTATCAGTGTCCTTAATGGAATCGCAGTTTTGTTTTTGTCCTTTAAACCTCTTCTTCACAACGTCCAATATAGTTGATCGCTCGAAGATACATTTTATAAAGCACTTGATGTTTTGGGTCTTTTTTTTCATTTTGTAACTTTTCATAAAATCCATGGCTTCTTCTTTAGGTATTTTGTTGTCCCTGGCACATTCTATAGCGGTTTTTACCAAAGGCGGCTTTAGAAATAATGAAATGTATTTATTTATTGATGTGGTTCAATTTGACTTACCTGCGTAGTTGCCAGAACTGAGAGAATAACTAGAAAAAAAGAAATTAGCAACACCTTCATTTCGCAGAACGTTTTTTGTAATTATCGGATCTTGCAACTTCTATTTATATAGATTCTTAAATTTTACACACCTAACACAATTTTTACGGCTTTTTACACCTATTAACTATATTAAGATAAGGTTATATAAATAAATAAATAAATAAATAGGTAGCATAATTTTATGTAAAATTTACTTTATTTTTAATTTTTCCTTTTTTTGCTCTTGAATCATGCATTCGTATATTCCAAAAGACTCTTCGCACTTATCGCTATGATTGGTCAGACCAATTTGGTCTTGAAAATTTCGCAGATTCGATAATCTAATCCAATCCAATCCGACCCAACCAACTGAAGGCGCTTAAAGATACAATTCATGAAGCACTTGAATTGCGAGCTTCATTTTTAACTATGTAACCCGTCATAATAATCAGGGATTCTACTTCAGGAACTTGGTTTTCCTTGGCACATTCCTTTTCTCTATTTACGCCACGCGGCTGTAAAGTAAAAAACGTTATAAAGCTACTGCGTGAGATTGTTTGATCTATTAATCAAATGTACAACCATGTTTCGTCACAAAATTTGATATTAGAACTTTTGTATGTTGATGGTGCGATCGTCACGAACCTTTTGCTCGTTAGAGGTGTTTTTTTTTATTTATAATATTTTCCATTTCTTATATTAAGACACAATTATTCAGATACACGTTTTCCTTATAGGAAAGATTTTACAGTTTTTACACTTTTTATTTATAATGTAAAATTATCGTAAATTCCGATGTCGATCAATTTCGTTTTCATTATCCTTTTTTATCTTGCTTCCGTAATTTGTTTTCGATCTTAAGGAAGCATGCGAGTTTCTTAAAGGACGCTGAGCACTTATCAGTGTCCTTGATGGAATCGCAGTTTTGTTTTTCTCCTTTCAACTTCTTCGTCATAACGTCCAATAACGCTGATCGCTCGAAGACACAATTTATGAAGCATTTCATGTTTTGGGTATAACTTTTCATTTTGTAACTTTTCATAAAATCCATGGCTTCGTCATTGGGAATTTGGTTGTCCTTGGCACATTCTTTAGCGGTTTTTACCAAAGGCGGCTTTAGAAATAATGAAATGTATTTATTTATTGATGTGCTTTAATTTGACTTACCTGCGAAGTTGCCAGAACTGAGATAATAACTAGAAAAAAAGAAATTAGCAACACTTTCATTTTGCAGAACGTTTTTCTTTATAACTTTGGGATCTCGCAACTCCTCTTTATATAGATTCTAAAATTTTACACACCTTTTAAACATGTTACGCCTTTTTACACCTATTAACTAATTAGGAAAAGGTTATATAAATAAAAAAATGAGCATAATTTAATGTAATATTTACTTTACTTAACTTTATTTTTCCTTTTTTTTGTTCAATCATGCATTCGTACATTCCAAAAGACTCTTCGCACTTATCGTTCTGCTTCGGTCTAGAAAATTTCGCAGGTTCGATAATCTAATCCAATCCAACCCTCCCCATCCAACTTTGCACGCTTAAAGATAAAATCTATGAAGCACTTGACATTGCGAGTTACATTTTTGAATTTGTCACCCGTCAAAATAATCAGGGATTCTACTTCATGAACTTGGTTTTCCTTGGCACATTCCTGTTGTCTTTTTAGTTCACGAGGCTGTACTCCAGAAATTGTTTATATTTTCAGGCGAATTTTGTTATGTTGGATTTATGGCCCATGCACATGCAATTCCTTAGATTAATATACAATTATTCAGATACCCTGTTTCCCTTATGAAAAAGATTATTTTTTTTGGATCGCGTCTGCGGTCGCTGATCAAAATTACGCGCATATATTTTTAATGGCTTCCCACCTCCGGATCCACAGTTTTAATCCCCTTGTTACTTTTAACAGTTGCATATTTTTTGTGCTCCTGTTGCGGTCGCTGCATTTTAAATAAATCCCATTTGCTGTCAGATGGAGCTGCAGTTATCTTAATTATTTGCATGTGGCCGGCATTCGTTGTTGTTAACAGGATGGAAATACATTGAATGCCATAACTACAAGCAAATGGCCAAAAAGTGTAACCGGGCATGGGTTTTGCCATGAGCTGTCAATTCTTCGGCGGCTGCTTTTTTCTTGTACCGCTGTCATCTGAACTATGGTGGAAAAAAATCGCAACAGGAACAATCTGCAGTCCTGACGCTGACAGTTATGATATGGCAGCAGGATACGAGGACACAAAAGGATGGCTGCGGCAAAAAATTGAAATTGCATTGCATTGCAATTAATCAAATGGCGAAACAGATAGCTTAATTTGTTTACGTTTTGCCCTGAAATGCAACCCGACACAGAAGCCAACTCCATTGTCCGTTAAATGTCCGTCCGTCGCTTTTGTCCGCCGATGTCATTAGCATCGTGATTACCTCTACATTTTTAATGCGCTTTCATTTGTTTGCCCACATGTGCAAATTATCCTGGTATGCCCTTCACTTTGTCGCAATGTACGCGATTAAAAACAAATTAATTTTAAATTAATTATTCGACAAATAAACAAAACGGAATACCCTTAAGCCATTTTTTTTAAACTTTAATATCAATTGTCAATAGTCATGTTGGGTTAAAGTTTTTAAAGATTATCATTTGAAAAACATGAGTCGGTTTCTTTTTAGTACTTTAATGTTTAAAAAATATTTGATGCTATTTATTTTAGTTACTAAGTTCCGTTCGTTGACCCACGAAATATTTTGCAACAGTCAAAGAGAAACATATATTGCACTCTGTTTTCAGCACTTTATCATTAAAGTTGTTTGAACAGTTTTCGCGCGCAAGGGAAATGCACTTCTCATTAACATTCCGAATTTTTCGCAACATTTTCCGCATCGCATATTCAGTGCAGTGGAAAGGCAAAGTATATTCGAACTTTGTATCAAAATAAAATATTGAATTAAGCATTTACAAATGTGCCGAATGAATTTTTGGTTTTGCTGCTCCATTGGCACACGCGGCGTATGCGCAATATTTAGTGCACTTAAAGAGCAACCATTTGCATAATGAGAGAATGTACCAAAGCTCGTTCCCAACCCAAAAACCATGAACACAAATATACATAAACAAAGTAAAAATGGCAGTGGGTTGTGGAATGTGGGTGTGGTGCTTCCGCCCCGAAGAGTTGTTCAATTAATATGCTTTGGTCCATGCGGCGTATGCGTAATGCCAAAATGCCAAATAAGGTAAAATGAATTGCACAATGGTTTCAGTAAATAAGCGCATAATGCTTTGCTGTATTCAATGTTTATTTGCGGCCGGGCAAAGGGGCTTATTGATTCCCAGGATTCCCAGTTTTTGGCAACCAAAAGCAATTAAAACGAGTTGCAAAATGTAGATATTTCAGTTAAATGGTTAGATTTTGAAAAATATTCGGTTAAAGGTTTAAAAAATATTTTTTTTTGCTTAAAGGTTTTACTCATTTGTCTAGACAGACAAAGCCGTGAAAGACAGCCAGACTCGCTGACATACAAATGCAAATTTCCATTAAATCCAACCCTTGAAACTTAACCCCCTTTGGCCCACCACATATGTATGTATGTGAGTTCAGACTCGCAGTTGAAGCGTCCTTCCATATAAATCACATAAATATTCACATTTATTTTCATTTCCAACACTCTCCCCCTATTTTTGTTTCATTTCGTTTTCCTGTTACCAAAGAGTCCTAGATTTACATATTCATTTTGCTCCACATTTCATTCTTTCTGCGCTCTGCCGGTTTTTTTTTTGTTTTTTTTTTTTGAAAAAGCGAGTGGTGGCACTTAAAAAGTCGTTACAAGGTGCAAAAGTTTTCTATGTCAAAATATACGGCCGGGCAGAAGCAGAGACAATGACACTGAAGTGTGGGAAATAGTAGTGGGAAATGGGGTTTCATAGTCGCCTGCATATGTCAATGGTTTCGCAAAAAAAAAGTGAAAGAAATAAAGGGGCTCGAACATTTCTGACCCATTTAGGAATTCAGCGGCACAGAGAGAGATATATCTGTCATCAATTTGGAAGAGGGAAAAATGAAAGCTGAAACTCCCATTTAATTGCCCAAAACGGAAAAATGGTAGACAAAGTTTTAAGCTTTTCCGAATTTTTCCTTTGCCTTCCCAAAAACTGAGCACAGATTGAGCCAGGGATGTGTGGACAAAGTTTAGACCGAAAAATTTCATAACTTTTCAATGGGGCTAATATTAAGTTACCTCAGCAAAGATTTAACTTCAATCAGCACAAACACACACAGGAATAAACACACAGGAACAAGCTGGGGAAAAGTCCTTGCAATCAATTTCAAATTTATCCTGGTCTCATTTGCTTGGCGAAAATTACTTATGAGCCATTCATTTATTACACCTATCGGCAAACTACACAAAATTGACAGCTTAATGATTTGTTCATAACTTTGCCAATGGGGTCCTTATTTATAGGAAACTTGGACGTACGGCGAGGCTGTAAATGGTAATTAGAAAACTTCTGCTCATGTGTGTGCTTAGTAGAGAACTAAGCCCTGGGGAGATTATATCAAGCCGGAAAGTTTATCGGACAAATTATATGAGAGCTTGGCTGTAATTGGATTACAGAAAGGTAAATGGAAATCTTATAAAAGGTTTGGTTATGAAAGTATACTTTTGGGGTTACAAAATAGAGAATTATTTATAAATAATTAAATATATTTAATATTTTACTCATTTAAAACTCAAAAACTACTTTTGCTAAATGGTGTGATTCGTTTCAGAATGATTAATTCATATTAAGTCTATTTCTTTGATGTGCAAATTTCTGCCATTTTCAAAGTCAATTATCTTAATGTGATTTCGAAGTTTCTCAGCCAATTCTGACAATTTGAGCATAAATATTGGATAAGGGAAAACAGATAGAATAAATGTCAGCGACTTTCACACTTTCATTGCATTTCTAGAAGCAACATCACTTTACCATTTCATCAATTAAATATGCTGACAGACGTCAATTATTTATAGAGAATGAACCCAAAAATGCGGGCGTAAAAGAGAAGATATCTTCACGTAAATTTATTTAAATACCTGTGTGTGTGTATTTGTGTTTGTATGTTTTCAATCTGAGCAGAGTCTGTATGTGTGGGTGGGTGGAAATTACTTTTCCGAAAATTATCATGCACATTGGCTGATGGCACATGCCACTCACACAAACAGTCTTATATGGGAAATTCAATTTGATGCTGATGCAGTTGCGCTGCTGCTGTTGATGTCACTCGCCCGACTCATTAAGTATTAATTGTAAATTTTAATTAAAATAAACCGAAACGATTACGGACACAACAGAGCAAAAGAGACGGGGCGAGATTGACCGGCAAACTTTGCTGCTTCTGATGGCCAGGTAATAATGTTTACTGCTTTTATACCACCCCTTTTTGCCTCCCCTATAAGTATATCCCACATTACCCATATATGTGTATGAAAAATCCCATTAATTGCCCGGCAAAAGACGAGTCCGGTAAAGTAAAAACAATAATAAATAATACAAGATGGCAACTGCAGTGGGGAAACTGAAAAGTGCAGCTGCAACGGCAACTGCAACTGACATCTTCCACCATTCTGATTCTGGCCGACTTTGATCAGTTGGTTAACTTATGACTTAAAGAGGGCGTGGCGAATGTGGGACAGGTTTAAATATATGCATAGACCATTAAGTGATTGTTGCGGCAGGCCGATTAATTTCATATGTTGCATTAAGTCAGAAAAGGCCGGGTAAAATTATACTTTTGCTAATTGTTTTTAAGTTGGGAAAATTTAAGTACAATTTTGGTTTACATTTGTTAATAGCAGTTGGGGTTTTCTATTCAAACAATTTGTATTCTTGTCTTTACTTAAAAGCGAACTCCCCAAAGCCAAAAGAATAATATATATCTTTTTAATTTTTAATATTATATTGTTTGTATTGATATCAGTTAAGATGTTTATTTAATTATTTATTAAATTATTTAAATTTAGGAAGATTCCATTTAAATTATATTTTCAATGATATTTTTTCAAGAACTTCCCCAATTTGTATAATATCCTCTCTTTTACTTTAAAGTAAACTCCCTAAAGCCCCTTTTAAATGGAAAATTCCTTTCAGATTATCTTCGATAAAGCCCTTAAAATGCAGCCTTTCATCATTCCTTGGGTGTGACTGAAAAAAGGCCAATAAATCGTGTGTTAATAATCTGCCCCTGTGCACATGTGGGCGTGGCACATTCACACAATGAATGGCCCGGCAAACACGAGCGAAATGAATTGTATTTATTTGTGCGCCATAATTTGCTTATTTTTGTTTCACGTTGTCACGTCTGCGGGAGAATTTCTCACTGACCCGTAACAATTTTCGATTTTTTGTGTGCACGGCGCGCACACAGAAATAAAAGTTAAATAAAATACAATAAGTTATTACGGCCGATTGCGTTAATGATCATTTATGGCTGGGCGAATTTGTGGGCTTATGTAAATGGCACTTGAATGTCGGCTCCCCCACTCCCATTGCTTTTTTTTTCATATGCGATAACTTGCCAAAAGGATGCACAAAGGACAAAGTGTCCGGAAGGGCGAGAGATTTATACTTAAGTGATGTAAATGTTTTGCCATTTGACAGTTTATTGACTTTTATGAGTTAGTTTATTATGTTCTTTTTTTATTGCCCCAAAAAATGGGGTTGGGTGGCTGCGAAATATCCTTGTAATTGGGCGCGTGTTTGGCATAAGCAATGAGGCTGCCATTATGTCCAAGGCCTTGTCCTTTGTCCTTGTGCCTGGATGTTTATGGCCCGAAAGCAATACGAGATTTGCACTAATGAATATGATAAACATTTTTATGGGGCATGGTGCCAAACAAAGGTCACCAGATAACCATCAGGAGACACCTTAACGGGAGGAAAGCCAGGAAATTATTCAGCAAATGGGTTGGCAGTTCAGTGGGATTCATTCATTCCAAGGCAGGTGGCTAAATTAATTTAATACATTTGTTCAATGTATTAGTTTTGTTAATAATCAAGGCAAAATTTTAATAATTATGAATATTTTATAGTTTAAAATGCAATACATGAATTTTCATTTTTTTTCTTCAGAACAGTTTATAATATTTTGTTTTGATTTAAAACAAATTATAATTTCTCTGAGATTATTTTTGCGTGCTTTTTTAAAACTCTGCAAATTCTACGATTATTTCTGACAGAATTGTTTTTGCCATTCCAAATTTAATGCAGTTAAAAATACCTCGGGCCATTTATCATAAACTCACCTGCTCGACCCCTCAAAAACCCAAATAATTTCATAAATTATTTGAAAGCCAGATAAACATCAAAGTCATTTTTATACACATTCAGTTGAATTTATTTTCATATTACTCATACGCACTGCTTACCAGCTAAACATTTCATTTCGTTTATTTGGGGGTTCGTTTCTCTCTTTTCTCATTTCTGTTTTTTGTTTTCACTTCAATTAAGCTAATTCAATCCATTTTCTATTATTGATTTGCTTTGCTTTCGTTTAATTTATAATCAATAATTTGGACTTCCATTTGTGGTTTGTAAAATTCATCAAAGTTTTCGTTTACTTGTATATCGTTTTAGTTTTTAGCTTGAACAACATTTATGTAGAGTTGGGCATTTCATAATTAACTATAAGGTAGAGTTGACAATGCATATGTATTGTATGTATCGTAAGGATTCCACCCTCATCAAAATCGTCGATCATTAATAATTTCCTTAAGTTCTTCTCATAAAAAACGTACAAAAAATGCGTTTGATGAATGAAAGTTGGCAGCAAAAATTGGCAATAGGCTGAACAGATATCGTCTATATATAGCAAAAAGCATTTCGTCTAATAATTCCCTCCTCTAAACATTCTTTGGGTTAGGTTAGGTTAAAGTGAATTGCACACACAAAGTTCTATCACAGAAGATACAAGAAAACAGAAAACTCAGCAGCAACAATATCGAGTTTTGGGATGGGATTGTATTTGGTATTTGTCTTTCTATGGGGACAAGCTCTATGTCCAGATGAAAGCGAGGAGGAGTGCGTATATGGGGTATAGCGACGGATTCCAGCTGCAACCGGCGGCCGTGGTAAAGACTTTCACGGCACTCCAGTCACTCAGTCCGGCGAGATTTCGACTGGCCGCCCTCATCAGATACGTGGTGTTCGACTCCAGATGGGGGATAATGAATTTGTGACCTGGAAATATTATAAAAAAAATAATATTCGAAAATATAAATTTAAATTGGCATCCACAAAATTTTAATTAGTTCTGTGTAAATTCAATTATTGTGTGTAGTCAACTTTAAAATATTTAGCCTGCAATTGAAGTGAAATTTTGAATATGCACAATTATACAAAACAGTTGAGTGGCTTGATATTTAAACAATAAAATTTTTTAAGGTATTTATCGAATGATAGAGGGATTAAGGTTTTTTTCACTTCAATAAATCTATTTATTTATTTTAGTGTTTATTTAATATTTTTTAGTAAATATCTTTCTTCACCAGTATTTACTACTCACCCCGATGAAAGGAGAAGTCCCTTTGCTTGGCGTAGCTCCAATTGCCGGCGCTGAACTTGAACTCGGTGTCGCTCATGTAGGCCACCCGGTAGCCATAGATCTGCATCTCGTCGGAGACATTTATCATCCGGGGCGTTGGGAGATCCAGCTCGAAGGCGTCGGTGTAGAGCTTCTTCAGCTGGAAGCGCTTCGGGCCCCAGGGTTTGGCCCCCGGCCTCAGTTTGATAACCCGCTCCAGCATTCCCAGCGGATTGGCCACCTTGCACTTGTAGTCCCCGAACTGGGAGGCGTTCTTCACCTGCAGCTGCAGCGTGGCCCCGTAGTCGGCGACAAAAATGCGGTGATTGAAGCCCACGATGCCCTTGCCGTTGTGCAACCAGGTGAAAGACGGTGGCGGCTCACCCATCGCATCGCAGCTCAGGTTTACGGCCCCGCCCACATAGGCGTATTGCACCGGCAGGGTCTCGTTGAAGAACCAGTGGGGTTTATCTGCAAGAGGTTTGAGAAAAAATATAAGAAATGAGTAAAAAGCGAGGGTGCTGGGAGTGTTTTCTAGAAAAAATGTGAGTTGCTAAGGAGACTTGTGATTTTGATTTTAAACTTTATAATAAAAGTATATAAAAAGTTCCACAGAAAATATATTTTCCCCTTTTAAATTCTAAAAAATTCCCTGAAATAATATTTTTAGAAATAATTTTCTTTGAGTGTACGTTTTTTGCCCTCATGGCAGAAACTTTGGTTTGGTTTTGTTTTTGTTACCACTGGCACACACTTCCATAAAGGTAGGAAAAAATGAGAAAGGATATCTGTTGCACTTTGTCGTCGTCTGTGCTGAAATCCTCTCATTGACACCACACACGAGACACCAGTAATTTTTCCATAGATCCCCTTACTTAAAACAAACACTACCCACAGTTTAAACCAAATAAACCAAAACAATATTGATTCTTTGTCGCCTGCACAAAGTGAAGTGCAAGAAACCGCAATAATCAAATCACAAGAACAATAGATTTCTGTCTTTCCTTTACTTTCTCCCCCAGCTCCGTTTTGAAGAGAAATATCAACAAGAAATGGTTTCAACCTTGAGTCAAGGAATGGATAGCAAAGAAAAGCAAAACATAGTATCGGGAAATTGAATCACCCTCTGCTGCGAATTGCATTTTTCTCGCTTTCTCTGCCTTTCGGAAAACTTTTATTTTTTGTGGAAAGTCAGTTGACATTGGTTGACTAAAGATTTGCCAGATAATAAAAATATCAATAGAGCGAGCTCTTTAGTTTAAAATGCATTTTAAGTATCTTTGAGTAGAAAAAGTATTTCTATAAATCTTAAAAAATATTTTGTATTATTTTACTTTAGAAGCAAAACTTCCGTTTGGTTCTCTTGTATAATTGCTATCTTTCATATATGTGCATTACCCCTGCAGTGTTTATATTTACTCCATTATTATCCCTACCAAATTCTATGGCAGCCGAAAGCAATTAAGTTTCAATAGCTGCCTTTAGCTCACATACTGCCCACTGTAAATTGTGTGCTGCCTCCAAGGACTCCAGGGGCCACCACCCTGTATTCCGTTGAGGAGTAGCTAATAGCACATTTTAGCATCTCGTCGTTGTCCCAGTGTCCTTGGTGTCCTTGTCGCCATCGTCGCCGATGCGGTCCATTGAAGTTTATTGCTGGGAATCTTATGCAAACCTATATATTGCAGCATTTGCACACCCAAAAAAAAAATCCTGAGTGTCAATTTAATAACTGTGGGTTAAAATGACACTGCCCCTAGGATCAAATTTTTGGGGTCAATTTGCTCCCAAATGAGTGTCAAAAGTACACCGCGTTTTCAGAAAAATCGTATTTGATACTAAATAGTGTCATTTTGATAAAACTAGGTTCACATCGATCCCAATAATTATCATTTTTGATTTTCGAAGTTCGAAGTTCGGCGATGTTTTACTCGAGTATCGATTTCGTTTATACTTGTCAAGAGTTCGCTCGCGCGCAAAATGGTTCGATGGCCCAGTTGGTAAGGCGTCTGCCTCTGATGCGAGAGGTCCCCGGTTCGAAACCCAGATAAATCATATTAGGTAAAAAGTTTTTAAAATGCATATATATCATTTTAAGAACAAAAATGTTAAGTTGTGTTAGATTACTGATAAAAAAAAAAAAATAATGTTGTTGCGAGCGGGATTCGAACCTCGTTCCCCCGAGCACAAAATAATATCAGAACCAAGCGCCTTGGCCCCTGAGCCATTCCCATATTAATTTTTGCCATGGCAGAATGGTTACAGGAGCTTTCAAGCAAATGTCAAATTTTATTTAATACTAAGAAAATGACACCGGCTAGTGGCTCTTTGACACCAAAAGGGGTCAAATTAATATTTTCGAAAGTATTAAAGTGACACCAGAATAGGGTCAATTTAATGACGTTCGGATCAAAGATTTTTTTCCACTCAATAGTGTCACATTGACACCTAAATAGGGGCATATTGATGACTACTTTTTTTTGGGTGCAGCATTTCAACTGCTGCTACTGTTTCTGTTTCTACTCGGAATTCCCTTCCGGGGCGTTTCAGCTGGGCAGCAAATTAGTTTCGGTTTCCATTCGCCTGCTGTTTGCCTTCCAGTTGCCAGCTGCCCAACGGATTGCTCCGCTTGGGTGGCCTTAGCTGCACTGAGAAAAATGGGGGTCTTTTAGGGCAGCCTTCTAAAGCCTTTAAAAAATTGTCTAAGGAAAAATTAATCTTTCGGTTTTTCCAATATTCAACAATTTTTAATTAATTCTTTGATATATTTTTCTATAGCACGAGTTAAAAATCACTAAATAAATTAATATTGTCTTAAAGCTTTTAATGGAAGATTTCTTTTAGAAATATATCCAAAGGAAACGTAATTACGTTTATCTTATTTTTATTATTTATTTAAAAGTATTTTTCTCAGTGCGTTGAAGTTGACTTGTGCAAATATTCGACCGGCAGTCATTAGTAAAATTTTGACGGCAACTCAATCCCGACGAGGGGCTTAGGAAGCTGGACGAGGACCGAGCTTCTACATAGTTGGCTCGCCTGGTGTTGGTTTGTTTATGAAGCCATATGTTCCGATATCGATAGGGAGAACTTGGCAGTGCCAGTATTACAAATGACTCCCAGGAGAGCATTTTTTCGGTTGGCAAATACCAGAAATTATTAGGTTGTGATAAACTAACTTTTTCTAGTGTGCGGAATTTAAGAAGATGGAAGAGCTGTTAAAGTGATAGATGAATATGGTAAGGGATAAATTGTAAGGTAAATATAAGGTCCTTCTGAAATTTAAGTGAGTAAGCACTTTTTGTATTTTGAGTAACTGAGTTCCAACTTCTAAACATTGTTTATATACCCAACTATATACTCCCTTTGAATTTTATTTATATTGTAAATTTCTGGCAGATCCCCTAGATACTCAATTTCCCAAGGAATCCGTAGTGCTCCTGTTTTGTAAATCGTAAGTTGGGTATATGTTCATTACGAAATTTGCATCAATAATTTGCATTTCCCAGCCACTTGACCCTGACATCCGGAAGGAATTCCCTACTTCAGTGCCGAGGGGATAACTTCAATCGGGAGTTTTGCTCGCAGCTGGAAATCTCATTAAAGCCAACGAAGCATGTTCACTCCCTTGGGGGGAAAATCGGAGGGGACTTAAACAACTTTAAGCTGCCATCAGCAAAAGATTTTGTTGCCCGGCAATCCGCCCAATTTCCACAGAAAACTGAAAAGGGGACGGGCAGCCAAATGCAATTGCCAACAAGTGGGGTGCAAACTAAATTCTAGATTAAATATTATCGAGTGTGTGTCCTGCAGAGAGACCAGGACAAAAACGGAGTTTGTATAGATATGGTGGGATATAGTGGGACAATGACACTTACGCTGTATCCTTAGCAATATCGTTATTTGATCGGAATCCGAAAAAGTCGGTGTTATACGCATGGCCCGACATGTGTACTCCCCGGCATCCGCCTGGCTCACATTCCTGATGTACAGACCGTTGGACAGGCGATTGTGCTTCGACGAGTTTACAGCTGCAAACGAAACAAAGGCGGGGGAGGGTGTTGGTGGAAAACGGTCAGAATCGTAGGGGGATATATATAGGTATAGGTAGCTGCATGGCTAACAAGTTTGCCGAGCCAGCGGCTTGGAGTGCACTATGAAAATTAAGCTAAATAAATCCAGGTAAATAAACTTAAAGTGCTTTTGCATGAAGAAATAAGTTCTTTTAAATTATTATATATTTTTTGCTATTGTTGATTTTGGCAGTTTTTCTTGAACAACATTTTAAATAATTTAAGCATAAATAAATGAAATAAATTAAAATTAAAAGCTGTGTTTTTTCCAAGTGTTTAATTTCCTTTCTTTGCTAAAAAAAGCAAGGTTACTCTAATTTAAGATTAATAAACTTATATAAAATTATATATTTACCTTAATCTCACATTTCAAAACATTTTAAAATTATTTACATTAAATTTTTAAAAATTAGATAGTAAATTGCCAGAAAAATAATTGTACAAGCTAATCGTATGACTAAGTAACCCGCTTTTTCCAAGTGCCAACTTACTGTTTATATATTCGCCATTGTAGAGCCAGGAGACTTCCGGCGCGGGCATTCCCTCCACAAAGCAATTGACCAGCGCATCGCGTCCCTCGCGCACCGACTGCACTTGCTCCGTCTTGCCAAATGAGATTTTCTCTGCGGGTCAAACGGGAAATGGGAAAGGGAAATGGTAAGGGAAAAGCAAAGGGGTGCGTTGTTCAAATTCCGTGTGTAAATATGCAGGCATGATAGCCCCCATTCGTTCGGTGTATATAAAACTAACCAGCTTCCTTGGCGCTTCTGTTTACTTGGTCTCTCTTTGATTGGTAAGTTGACAGATTGTGTGCCAGTTCATCGAGTTACTTTAAATGTGGCTAACAAAGCACTCATTCTGATTTGTAAATACATTAAATGATTTGTCAGACGGAAATTGGTTCGGAACTTTCAGCAAAAAGTGGTCGAGAGGATTGTGGCAAGTGGTTAAATTGCAAATGCAGAAGTTGAGCGAAATATATCTTTTTTATTACTGGCAAAACCAATAGTGTCAAGTTTATTTTGCAAATAAGAAAATTATTTTTGGATTTTTATTTAGTTTTTTTAAGGCTTTTAGTAAAACCATTTAATTTTATGAACTTTTCTAATGTTGAACTTTGACAAAAATGTTAAAGAAAATAAGGAAACTTTTTTATTTACTCTGAATTTTGCAGTCTTACCGAATCCAAGTCCAAATCACAACCGAGAAAGCAAGTAAACAGATCCTGCTGCACATTTTACGACCCCGTTTCTTTTATGCTTCCTAAGTCCCCAAAGCTGAAGTCAACTTACGATTTACGAGCAGCTCGAAGGAGGCCAAAAATTCACGTTCGACATTCACATTACGATTGCCATTTCTGTTCCCGTTCACCTCGCAGGTCCAGTTTCCCCTGTCCTCCAGCGAGATGTGCTCGAAAACCAAAGCCAGAAGTCCTTAAACAAAGGATAAATACAGAGGCAAATAAAATATGTGCCAAATAAAATTACTAAAAAATTGTAAAATACTTAGATGAATAGTTTCTTTAATGTTAATTCATGTTGTTTATACCTATATTTGAATTTTAGATAACATTTTTAACATATTTTAAAACTAACAAAAAAATGTAAATGATCCTTGATTTTTGTTTAATTTACTTTAAGTACTAAACAACATTATTTTACAAGTTCTTCTTGTTAAAAGGTTTATTAAATATAAATTTTTCAACAATTTCTGAGATCATATATTATTTATGGTCATCCAAGTCCTATGGTTACTTGCGCACTCTATATTACTTCCTGTTTTAGGAATGATTTAATAATGCAGCCATTATTCATATCCAGGTCACTCCGGCTTAACTTTCTCTTTGTGTAGAGTTCATGGAGATACTTTTGCATTTCAGCCAGTGACTTTATCCACTCGGCTGGGTCATTACTTCACCACTTACCCGTCGTCTTCTTCTCGATGTGGACGCGTCCCTTGGTGTTCTCACGGGTCTGTCCGCGGGGATCGCGCCACTTGGTGTCGATATTCTTTTGTACTGTCTGGCAGAAGATGATGAAGGAGTCATTTACAAAATGCGTTATTGATGGCGTCGATGGCTGGAGGCTGAGGGGCGGCGAGGGCGGGTTGGATGATGGGCGGGGCAGCCCAATGCCACTCCCCCCGTTGCTGGTACTGTCCAGCTGGCCAAGGATTGCAGCTGCAAAAGGGCAAAAAGGGAGCGCTTTTTGCATTAAATTTATCACTTTTTCAAGGGGTTAAGGCGGGGTGGTTCCGTCATCTCATAAAAATAATCGTAATTTATATAGACAGCTTCCCGCTTTTTCCTTTGCACCTAACCCTGTTCCCCTTTTATTTGCATGCCTTGAATTAAATTAGCTTTGCTGCGAGTGAATGAATGGCTCTGTATATAGACATTTTGATTTCTTATGAAGTATGGAAGGCATCTCCTTTAAATCCCTTTCTCCGCCTTTTTAGTGCCTCCACCGTTTGTGTTGCAATTTTAATAGAAATTCTTATCTTGCAATTTTATTTCATAAATAGCATAAGAAAGAAAGAGCTTGGGAAAGATATAGTCAGCAATAAGAGGTACACAAGTTCTTTGATAAAAACGGATTCAGAAAAAATATAAAAGACATGTAAAAAAATAAAATCCCATAAAAATAGTAAAATTTTAAAGACTTCTAATAAGTTCTATCCATTTTAAAGATAATTTCCCAATACGTGATTTTTTTAAAATTTCTTTCAAATTCTTAGTGAAAAAGATTTGCATATAATTTGTTTTTTTTTCACAACGGGACATTCTTTACTATACTTTTTTATAGCTTTATAAATTAAATTTACCCTGTTGTACACCATCAGTCGGTATTGTTTGCATATTAGAAAGTATTTTTCAATGATTTCATCATCTTTTTTATGACGGATCCCAAAGCGGCAAATTCCTCAATTCCCCAACACGCGGGCCTAATTTTTGTTGTATTTTTTGCCGCGCCCGGCAACCAAAACCCTTTTACCCCTCCCCTTGGAATCCTTAGCTTTAGCCGGCTAAAATTTCAGACAAACAATTCGAGAGTTTTTGTGCAGACAAAATTGAAAATAAATATCCAAAACTATTTGCCAAAGAGATAAGCTTGCTTTACAATATTTTGTTTGTAGTTACTCTTTTTTCGACATGTTGTCGGCGGCTGGCTAAAATAATTATTGGTAATTGAATCTATTGGAGGTAGAAAGGAAATTTATTTGAAATTGAGTGCTATATTTTTTCTTGCTAAAAGTTTTTTAGAAACATTTCTGGCATGCATTGAAATCAAACGAAAGATCAAAAAGTCTAAACAAAAACAAGCTTTATTGATTGAAATGTTATTCAATATCGAGATTTTATAAATGTGTTTCCTAAATTTGATTAATAAATAAATTAACTTTATTATTTATAAATATAAAATGTACTCTGCTTTAAATAGATATAAAATTTAATCAATTATGAGTAACAGTTCAAAGAGGCTACTAACAAACTTTGGCCAATTGATTTGCGAAGCTTCATCTTTTATCCATTTGCGCTTTTTTCATCTCAATCAATAAACCCCATACCTTTGCCTTTTGAAATATGTACTTAGCCTAGAGAGCATCAAATCCATCAAATTGAATTTAGTAATATTTTATTTGATAGCTAGGTAGTGTGTGTGTGAGTGGCAAATGTTGAAGTGAATCCAATAAAAATTCAAATTTGCCTTTTTGAATTCGTAAGCAATATACAGGCGCACACATAAGTGGAGCTACAATATCTGCAATTGGATTGTTAAGGTTTGGCTCCTTTCTGAGCTGCATATCAATCACGTTTAAGATGATGAGGGGCCAAAAGGAAAAGGGTAAGTGGAATTGTTGAGTTAATATAATTCTGGCATTGTAAACTGAATTTATTAAGCAGAAGACTCCTTAGGATTTTTTCAAGCACAAAAAGTATTTTACTTTAGTTGAACTGAACACACAAATACATATTTCTCTAAAGCTGTAGAAATTGTAAATATTTTTTTGATTTTATTTTGAATGAGAGATATAAAAAAACCTTTAACAATAATTTTCAAATTTGCATAGAAATAGTTCCATTAGGTATATTTATTTTAGGTTTGATGGCTGTAAAGATGACAACTTATGAAATGGAAAACCAGAAAAGCTTGGGTACTTTTCTACATTAAATAAATATTTGCTATTCTGCTTGTGAATTTCATAGTTATTGTTTGAAAGGGTGAAGTACCGAGCTTGATATGCATCAGTTAAGAATCTATCTTCCATGATTTTTCTTTGGCTTTGTACTTTTCGTAAGTTTTTGCAGACATATTTTCCAGCCTATTTAGTTTCCGTTTCCCTTTCTTGACACACTTCAAAGCCTGTCAAGCGGCTTGAGTTGGGCACATCCCCCTTTTAACCCCCCTGCCGCCTTTCGTTTGCCATAATGAATTCCTCAGCATGATTCCCATGAATCGTTTCATCTTGGAGAGCCACATGGCCATGGGCTAATTTGGGCGAAGGTTCCATCGGCACTGACAAAGCGCTCACACATGGCTTAGCATCGCTTAGGTGCCTGTGCATCTTCGTTTTCCTCTGGCGCCTAACATCTTCCATTGCATACTTTTAGGCCGAGAGCGCAATGGGCGTATGTGTAATATTTCCATGCCACATTGCGTAGCCGCAAAGGATAAAAAATGTATGTTTGGTCAGAGACATGAGAAGTTTTGTAAAAAAAATAAAGAAAGTTCGCCCAAAGAAATGTTTGCCTTTGAGAGCCTGATTCCGCTACATTTGAAAGCAGATTTGTGGCAGCCGGAAAAGAAGCAAATATTTGTCTTAGCTGGATGAGCACAGGAAACGGCAAAGTCCAAGAAAAGTGCGGTACAAAATGTTTGCAAAAATATGAAAAGTTGTAAAAATAATGGTGCCCTGTTAGAGGAATACAATTTATTCATACTAGAGTTTAAAACAAGAAATGGAAATGAGCTATGATTAGAAATAAAAAAGCAATAAATCTTTTATATATCTCTGCCATTAACAATTTATAAAAAAAGAAACTAACATTTTATCATCTTTTATTTAAACATCTAAAATGATTAATCGTCGTCTTGGCATTTATAAAATATTCATCTTATTAAAATAACTTAAATCACATATTTAAAATGATTAGAAGAAGAACAGCAATAAATATTTAAAACATATCTGCCCTTAGGAATTTCTAAAAAAAACACAATAACGTATTCTAACCTCATCTTTAAACATCTAAAGTTTTTAAACGTTTTTTTGGCATTTATAAAATATTCAGCTCATTTAAAATTTCTGATTCCTATTAAAATTTTAAATTACTTAAATCACACATTTAAAACAAAATAAAAATATAAAATTTGACACATGATTAGAAATAAAACAGCAAAACATTTTTCAAATACCTTTACGTTTACAAATTAAAAAAAATCCACCAGCTTTTTATTATTTTATCTTTAAACATCTAAAATGTTTAATCGTCCTCTTGGCATTCATGAAATATTCAGCTCATTAAGAAATTCTTAAAGAAATCCACAAATGCAGCGTTCTCCCATAAATACAAACACAAAGGAGTGCCAAAAGTTGTGCCAAAACAAATGAACTCATTTGGCATTCAGCTATGAATTTCATTATGAAGAAAACAAAGAGCGTACAAACACAAAGTGGAAGTTGAAACAAATATATTTTTTGGCCCAGAGAGTTTGTTCTAAAGCGCTGCTACTTAAGGTGGACAAATGAAAGGCTTCTGGGATCTAAGATTATCCTACCATTTTGCGAGAGGAGCAGCAGCAGCAGAGAGGCGAGCGCAATCAGAGTATCCATAGCTCAGCGGGAATATCCTTTTTTCGTTTATAATCCTTAATGGCTAATTTCACTAATTCTCTATTTATTTTTTTTTGGTTGCAGTGAGTTTATTACACGTCTGGTGGCTTTAGCAGTTAATTACGAGGCTGTTCACTTGAGGGATAATGGCACATGACAGAGCCGCTCATGTGTCACCCGTGGCCGGAAAAGCGGCAACAACACTTTCACTTTTGGCCAGGACAATGGCATGACATCATCATCATCCAGCTCAGGGCCAACATTTTTGCTTTATATCTTTTTTTTGCGTTGGCTATTTTGTTTTGTGGTTCCTAGCCTGCCCGCCTTCTTCTTTTTTTATCCTCTTCTTAAGCACTGGCACTTGAGGAAGCACTCGGATCGACGGATGAGACGAAGGACGAAGCCACCGGCGGGAGGTGGCGGTGGTGGGCGGTGGCGGCGTACGCGTAGGTTGACATATCCGGCAAAATATATCCTGCCAGCGATTTGCCAGCGATTTCACGTTCAATTTTCGCGCTCTACTTGGCTGACTTTCGAAGGAGAAGCCGCCGCTGGGAAATCGCCTGTTCCATTGCAGGCGAGCGTCGAGATTCGACTGAAAGTGCACCGCAGGACATTCGGCACACACGGCGGATGCTTGACGAAGTGCGAGTTCGAGTGCGGTTACGAAGTCCTCGGGATGACTTCACCAAAAAAAGCGAGTCCTTCGATTATTGCAGCCGCGCTCACGTTCGAACCGTTGCGAAATCAGAAAGTACACTGAAGTCATCGCTCGTCCTGCCGCATCCTTTTTGTGCCATCGCCAGGAAGTCGGGCCGAAAAGGGAAAACTTCTTCTATTAGGGAACTTCGCTATGTTGGCACACTTTCTGTCGGCATTTCAGTTGGCAACTTTCTTCCTAAGCCTTTGTTTCCAAACATTCGCAGTTCGAAATGTTGAGGGAGGTTTTAAGGAGGGGCAAGGACTTTTTGTGGTGGAAAGACTTTATAAAGCTTTTTATGGGGGTGGCAAGAGCTTTTATAAAGCTTTTTATGGGGGTGGCAAGAGCTTTTATAGCAAAGGATGTGTTTTAACAAGCTAAATAACTGTGAGGCTTTAAATAATTTTAACAGAAAACAGCAAGATACTCTGTAAACGTATTATTTTTGGGATATAACATTTGGTATAACACCAAGTTTCAGACATTATCTATAAAAATTTTACATTTAAGACTTTTCTGTAACAAAAGTGTCCTGTATAGCTTTTGAGTTGATTTTGTTAAAAATCTTTTAGTTTTTAAAGCTTTGAATATAAATTTTATATTATAAACCTACAAAACAATCCTTTAATTTCTTGACTTAATTGACAGCGATTTTCGAAAGCAACTCAAGCTTTTGCTTTAAAATTATTTCTTGTGAAAGTTATCTTGTCGAAGTTTAAGTTTGACAATTGTTATTGCATACTGTATTATAATTTAAAAATCATAGATAGCACTAACATTCCATAAATTAATAAAAATAAAAATATTTTAATAAATATAATGTATATTTATTATTTTTATTACCAAAATATAGCCCCTATTTACTACAAATATAATGAGCAAATACCACCTATTTTAAATAAAACACTCTGTTTGTTCATGCACATATCGAAAAGATTTATTCAGTGAATCCGGGCGATTGAAATCAGCCGTAGTAGACGTAGGGAGAGGCGTAGCCCACGGCCGGATAGCCGGCGGAGTAGACAAACTGGGGCACCGGAACGGGATTGGGATTGGGTCCTGGAGCGGGCACAGCCAGGGCAACGGCCAGCAGGGCGGCGAACAAGAGGAATACCTGTGGGCGCATAAGGTATGAAGTAGGGCATTCGTTCAGCGTTTACAGGATCAAAGGCGAGTGTCCTGCGGCACAGCAAACAAACTCACCAGCTTCAGCATGATGATGGAAAAAGGGTTAATTCTCGACTTGACAAACAAAATCGAACTGCACTCGATGTTTGCCCGATTCCAGCCTTTTATATTCACAAACATTGCCGATTTAAGGCGGATCTAAGCCGCTTTCTGCCACTCGTTCTCATCGCTGACTGCATCGCATTTTGATATTCCACATGCATTCCCGCCGGCCAAGTTTATGGCTCATTACGGCTCTTAACGCGTTCGCCTAATGCCTGCCAAACGTACTGAGGACGTACAAAGAACGTTATTGTTTCTTAATCTGTTTGCCTGACGACATCGCCACCATCATCATCATCATTATCATCGGTAAGTATCTCCCTCTTCCGCCCAGAAATCCACTTTCCATACTAACCCCCTCCCAAAAATCCACAAAATGTGTGTCGTTCTTTTTGTCAACTCACTCTCCTTTCGTTGACTCTTTTTTATATCGGCTTTTGGCTTTTGGTTTCGCTTTGGCCGGCGGCAAACATTTGGCTTCATTGTCGATTCGATCGATTTGGGAGTTTAAGAATACATGATTTGGCAATTTTTATGCAATACACTTGCAGCCGGAATAGAAGATAAGAGGATTTGCCATGTTCATAGAATTTTAAAGTAAATAAAGAGTTAGGGACATGAATAATGTGTTGTGGTGTAATAGTTCAATAATAATAACAATAGTTGTTTATAATTTACTTTTGCCAAGTATTATTTAAAATTTGTTTCTGACTTTATTTTGTATAATTGTAATGAAATAAATAATTAAGATAAATAATTAAAGAATTTCCTAAAAATATTAGAAAACATAATTAACTAAAAATAATTATTTCAATATCTTGGAATATTTAATTTATTTAATTAATTGCATAGATTTATTTACCAGTGAAAGGATTTTAACTTGACATGATTAAAGGGACTTAAATTCCTAGCTTTTGAATTAAAAAATGTTCCAAAGGGTAAAATATAAAAAAATGTATTTCTGGAATAAAAAAATATTTTATTTTTCACAAGGACTAGGTAATGTTTTGAATGTGTCTCCTAATGCAAAGGTAAACATTTATTAAATAATTTTTATTTGTTTATATTATGCGCAATTTCTATCCAATTACAATTATTAATTATGCCCCCAAACAATTGTCATCTTGACAAAATCGCATCAAACACAATTTAATTCCCGAACTCATTCGGTACACCCGACAATGCCCACAAATCATTAATCACCTAAATGGTAGCCCAAATGCGCAACCGCAAATTCCCAATTAAAATGCAATAAGCGTAGTTAGAAATATTCTTCAGTCTCGGGCTGAAATCACGTTCAAGGCCAGTCTATATCCAAGCGATTCCATCATCACAGATCGACAGAAAATAAGAAGTCATTAGAATGCGAAGGAAATTTTTGTTTTGGCTTGACAAAAACTATCGCAGTAAAAATAGAAGCAAAAGTCTATGGGCCGAATGATGTGAGCAAAACAAAAATGGCCATAAATCCGATCAGAGTCCAGAAGTGCGACATCATAAATAAGTCATGAGTGCGAATTTTGGTCGACTGGCAGAGGACTATATAAGAGTGCTGAAAAGTGAAGAACGGCATCAAAACACAAATTGCAATCGCTACACAAGCATCTCAAGTCCTCAAGGAAAATCAAAACAAACAAAATGTTCAAGCTGGTGAGTTGAAGCGGAAAAAAATGATTTCCTTGTGGCGAAATCAGTATATTCAAAATATCCTTGTGTTGTGAAATTAAATTTAAACATGAAGAAAGAATTTTTTTTGAATATTAAAAATATATATTTGCTTTTAATATATTTATCATTGAATTTTTATTTACATTATATTTTAAATATGAATTATATTTTTTTTTAAATATTTAAATTGACGAAATGTAATATTTTTAAACAAATTTGTTAACGTCACCCAGCTGGTTGTTGTTTTCGCCGCCCTCTTCGCCGTTGCCCTGGCTGTTCCCGCTCCAGTGCCGCGTGCCAATCCCGCTCCAATCCCGATTGCCAGCCCCGAACCCGCACCCCAGTTCTACTATGGAGCCAGCCCTTACGCCTATTCCGGTGGATACTACGCCTCCCCCTACTCCTACTACGGCTAAGTGCCCCGGACAACGCAAACCAACCGACGACTCGTGATAATGCATCTGAATACGGATTACGGATAACGGAATATGCGCGTGCTGGCAAATCAAATTAGTCATAAGTGCTTGAAAAAATCTAAAAAAAAAAATACAAAAGTTGAGCAAATAAAATGTTGAAGAACATGTTAGTATCAAAGATTGATTTAGTCGGAAATTGTGTGGGCCCTTTCACAGAGCAGACTACTTGGCATTTATGGCGAATGTGTCGCTAATATATAAGACTTAAAAAAGTTCCATCGAAATATTTCTTAAATGCTTAAAAATATGTAATTGAGTGGTAATTATATAATTGAGCTATTTTCACAAAACTAAAAGTTTTTTGCTGAATATTAAAACAAGTGCAAAATTTTAATTGAAATTAACGTTGACAATTTTTTTAAAACCTTTTTTATATTATTATTTTTTTTTAATATTGTATTGAGTTTTTTATTGTGTATAATTTTGACGTAGATAAAACAAATCGCTGGGTGATTTAGGAAACTCGATTTTTATTAAATTACAAGTGTAACCCTTTACAATCCCGAAAGTGATTAAAGATTAAAACAGACGACATGTTTCGGCAGTATCGCGCAAGGCGGGTTCTACAGGGCAGTTGAAGGCCGCTCTGCTCGATAAGGCGCCCAGAATCTCGGCCCTTTGTGAGTTGAGTTCTGATTTGTAAGTGTAACAAGGCGATTGAGCGAATCTCACATAGAAGAGCTGATCAGGTGTCAGGTTGAGTCCAGGCATCTGCTCGGTGATATTCTGCTGCTTAGGATCCTCCAGCAGTTCCTTCTTGTGGCTTTGATAGGCCGCAAATGCTAATTGCATTGTAGCGATGTCGAATAAGTGCTGGCTGAGTGCATCGGTCGTCTGGTTCAGGTACTTACTGTAGTGATCCAGAAAGCACTTGACGCGTTCCTCGGTCACACCCTTCGACTGGAAGTTAATATATTCGATGATTTCATGGCCGAGACTCTTACCCAAGCCGCCGTACTTCACGGCGAACGGCAAGTAATCGTGGTAATGTGGTGGTTGCAAAAATTGCACAAAGTAATTGAAGCCCATCAACAAATCCCTCTGCGATTGGATTTCATTGAGCAGTTCTTTAGGTTGACTGCTGATTAATTGATCCATGTGAACAGTGAGCCGTCTAAGATTTATAATAGTCGCAGGAAAACTATCTTCGACTATTTCCAGTTGGCCAATCTCCTGGATTAGGCGATCGGTTAGCGCCTGGACTGAGGTAAGGGGCGCCAAAAGTTGGGATTCCTTGAGCAGCACCTCGTTTCGATTCTCCCAGTCCAACCAGTCGGTTTTGTACAGCTGTCTTCTTAGGCTCTTCCGCAAGTCCTTGACTCCCATCTTTGTTTCCTCACTAAGGTAGGCCTTCAAAATAATTAAATTATAATTATGAATTTAGGTTTTTCGTAAACCACAAGACTTACCGCCAAATAGAGTTTGTTGAAGAGGTACGGCATGACGTTGCGCAGTGTTCTTTCGCAAAAATCTCTTTGCTCAGTGTAGTCTCCAAGTTTGGCATCGAATGAGAACAGCAGCTTCATGGCCAGATAATTGGCCGCAGCCTCAGGATGACGTTTACACACCACATCCATCTTCTCGAGGAACAAATTAAATTCGGATTCACTCTGAGCCCAGGTTTCGTAGGTATTCCACTGTACAGCTGCTACCGCGTCACGGTAGAATGCAAAAACCCCCTCGGTCACTTTTGCAATTTTATCGTCTGGCAGTTGAAAGGTTTTTAAATATCCGCGCATTTGCTGCTCGTCGAATTGGTAGGCGAGAGAAGTGGAATTCGTAATATCCTCTCTATTGCCGAAGAATCCAAAGCCGAGATGCGCCATATGGATGTCCGACGGATAACTATTTGGTGTAGGCTCGAAGATCAGACCTTCAGCCCCGTAATCGAGCAAGTGGCCACTCATTTTGATCCAGCTAAAGTTAGAGGCATTCCAGGTGGCACCATCGACGGCGGGAAAGCCTCCGATCGACCGGATGAGTTGTAGGTAATGTGGATCAGCAGCGGGAAAGGGATGGAGATCAGCCTCCAGACAGGCGTTGTAGAATCTTTGGGCCACCCTAAGTTCGCTGGACACATTGAGGGACTCGGCCAAGTCCGTCCTGGCCAATAATAGTTCCATCTTGCCCAACAGATGTTGCGTTTCAATAAATGGGACACTTTCGTCTTTGGCATTTCCGCAGGCGTACTCATAAAAGTTGTCACACGGATCTACATCCAAGTTCATTAGGGATTTCATGCGGGCCGCATCCAACTCCAGGACCTCACTTTTGGAACTCGGGATTTCGTTACCATCGCCCTTGGGGGAAAATATTAGTATTACCGAGAGGATCAGAAGTCTGACCGAGCCTGGGTATAATTCCATGTTGATCAGATCAACCGATGTGATATGCCTATTTAGTCCGAACTTATAGGCCGACTGTTCGATTCAAAACGAACATGTATACTGTCAGCTCTTTGCAAGACTTACCCATTTTTATATGCTTATACATAGTCGAACACGCCACTTATGGCATGTTTTTTTAACAAATATATTTATATAGAATAACCCACCATCAATTATGTGTGCAAAGAATGAGTGCCTAATCTTTTAGTTTAAATAAGGGGGTAAAGTTTAATTAATAAAATTCTTCTGTATATAATTGTTTCATTGCGATAAGCAACCTGGAAACAGCCAAATAAGAAATCGAGCAATGACGAGGAAAAAAATCTAGAGCACACGAGTGTAAATCTCGCCGTTATCTGAAATATTTCAAACATTTCTTATTAAAATAACTAAAATTCACATACTATTGCAGGGGGGTATTGACCTTCCGTCCGTTGTATTCTACAGCTCCCAAAGCGAAAAGTAATGTAAATTTGCTCCCTAAAAATCAAAATTTTAAATTTTTGTTTAGTAATGTGATTGGTATTCAAAGTAAGATTTACAAGAGAACCATGGCCGTCCGCCAAGTTATTTTTGCTCGTAAATTCCTTAGAAATCGCGGTCATTAAATTTAATTATTTCGTGAATTTCAGGTGTGAGCCCGCTTATCTAGGATATTAGCAACTTTTCTATTTCACATTTGTAACAATTTTTTACCAAAAGATATAACTTTTTTTGGAAAAAATCACACAGGTCTCAGAATCAAGAGCTAGCGAAAAATCTGAACTGCTTTGGCCGGCTGCACGACAAGCGGTTCCATGGTGTAATGGTTAGCACTCAGGACTCTGAATCCTGCGATCCGAGTTCAAATCTCGGTGGAACCTAATTGACATACATTTTTTAGTTTTTTTTTTTTTTTATATTTTAAATTAAGAAATTTGTGATGCGATTTTTTTTGTATATAATTTATATTTTAGCATGCCATATTAACGTGTGTATTTGGATTACGTTTTAAAAGAGCTCAAAAAATGTATATTTTAAAACTATCATTTATGTGTAAATATTTTGTTTATAACTAAAAGAAAAAAGAAAATAACTCTATCTTATAAAAAGCAAAGTAAACAAAATGTTAAATAATTTGTGCCCAATCAGCATTTTGTTTTGTTTGCTGTAGCATGTTTGTGGGCTTTGTCATCACCCCGTCAAGCGGTTCCATGGTGTAATGGTTAGCACTCAGGACTCTGAATCCTGCGATCCGAGTTCAAATCTCGGTGGAACCTGAGCTGAAGATTTTTTTTTTTTTTGTAATTAACAATTGTATTTTTAATTTATCTTAAATTATGTGCTGCATTGATTTGTATGGATTACGTGGTTAATATTATTAAAATAATAAACAAGAAGTATGTGCTTTATATTGGTTCGAGTATGTGCTTGCTGGTTGGTGTCACTACTAAACAGCTGTTTTTTGTTATTATTGTGAATGGTGAAAGTAGATTTTTTGGTATCAGAATATGAAAAATTTAAATAAATATAAATTATATATTCAAATTATAAAAATTATAAAAAAATATCGATTACCTAACGTACCTTTATCGATAGTGTGTTATCGATAGGTTGCAGCCAAAAACGAAGAGGAAGCAGCGCAGTGCATTTATTTTTGCTGCATTTTTGCACTCTGCGCTTTTTTCTGCCCAAATCATTCAGCAAAGCAAAAGTAATTTAATATTCTCTATATATTATGCTCGCCTTGTTTATCGCGTGTGGCCATGGATAGTGTTTACTTTACTCGGTTAGTTTTTTAGTTTCGTTCGTAGCGCCAAAACAAAAATTCTGGACTGCAGCTAGAAAGAGACGGTTGCGCGTTTAATCGGGATCTTGAGATTATGTTGAAGCGCTCGCTGAAAGTCCTAATTGCCGTGGTGTTGAGTTTGATGTTCACCGTTTCGCTGGTAAAGATAGTGCTATTGATTTGGTCCTCGCATCCCACCGCCCCCCACACTGCCCCGCCCCTCCCCACCGTCGACGAATGGCTGGATTCGGAGAACCTTTCGTCCTATAAGCAGTTATTTCGCGATAAAGGTGAGTTCAAAATTTATTATGATTGTTGCCAAATCAATTTATTAAGAGCCATTGCATTATGTCTTATCGTAGGTTTAATGTCGTTGCCTCTGGCTTTTGTTTATATTTTTTATTCGGTGGTGGGGTCGTTTATCTCCCTGTCTCTTTCTTTCCCGCCCACCAAACTTTCGGTACTTTGTTGACGATTTGAGCTTTGAGAGCTTTCTTAACACACGTGCTACTATAAAAACTTGTTGTTTTTTTTTGAGTGCCAAATAAACCGAATCAAAGTCATTTGGTTATGACGTATGTTTAAATAAAAAAAAAAAAAATAATGCTTTATCAGGTTCCACCGAGATTTGAACTCGGATCGCAGGATTCAGAGTCCTGAGTGCTAACCATTACACCATGGAACCTCGCTGATCTTCTGCTTTTCTAAACTGACCTAAAAATATTGCCCAAGTCTCGTAGTTTTTAATGAGTTTATGCGTAATTAGATTTAACTTTTGGCATCAAAGAAATTAAAAAAATAAATAGATAGCAAATTAAAAAAAAAATAATTCGTATAGGTTCTACCGAGATTTGAACTCGGATCGCAGGATTCAGAGTCCTGAGTGCTAACCATTACACCATAGAACCTCTATAAATGTCGCCAGCCAGGTGGCAGTTTTCTAATGAACCTAGCCAACAACTCAACCCCCGAAGATCGGAAAAGAGAAAGTAGCTTACAGAAATTCCCATCTTTTTATAGATCTATTAGAGTTGTTATTGTTCTTTGTTGATTGTCGAAACGCCAAAAGATAATTAAAAACGGTTTTGTTGCTATGGCTAAAAAACTTGATAAACATGTCTTTGAACCCGAGGCGTTGGAATTATTAACCCCCTGTAACCAAAGGGGTCGAAGATGTCAGTAGTCTGAAATATTCCGTTTTATTTTCCAAAGAGTATGTCACATTCTTATTCGATTTAAAAAACTTTCACTAAAGCGTAAAATGTTACGGTATATGAATAAGATAATTTGATTAAAATGGTCATAGTTTTAGCAAAGTTTTATTTTACTAGCTCAACTTTGAAGTGTCGACTTTTTCGCAAATACCTTTTTCACCCATAACTTTTAGAAAAAAGGTAGGTCGAATATAAACTCTAAGCTCAAAAAGCAATTAGGGAAAAAGTGTTCAGCCAGAATATATCGGATACTGGCTGTTTCCTAATAATGAAATAAGCTAATTAAGCACATGGTGCCGTGTCTAATGATAATGTAATTTTAATAAAGCGCGCCAAACAAAAAACAACCTGCTGGATTTGTGAGAGGGTGTGAGATTCAAGCGAAGGGACCCAGGATGCAGCAAAAGCTCCTTTCTCCGAATTTGGACCTCGGGAATCTTCGGCTCCCCTCGCAGGACACGAGCGTTTTCTGTGTCACTCGGGTTCGGTTTTCTTTTCGGAGTTCGGCTTTCGGTATAAAATCAATCGTAAATGTCCTTAAATGCTCAGTTTTGGTTTTACTTTGAGGCGCGCTGGTTTCACATTTCCAAACGCCTGGGAAACCGCCGCGTTTTTCCCCCGTTTTTCTTTGGTACAACAGCAAAAACAAATACTACAAAAAAAAATAAAGAGAAAACGGCAAAAACAGAAACAGATAAAACCAATAACAAGGCTAATATAAATGGCCGAAAAACGCCAAAAGTTATGATTTGTTGAGTTACATCGCGTTCAGTTTTTGCCCATATTTTACCTCACTTTTCCGTTTTTCCACGCAAAAGTTGTCAAAACATTTCGTGACAACGAGGACAATACGGCCACGAAAAAGAGCCCTAACCTACATAGGGCAGCACGTGTTTTCATTTGAAATACCCGTCCATTGAGACACCCACTCAAAGCTAATGATCCATAGCTAATCTCTGCTAATACGCACTGGGTTGGGTCCCAAATTAATGCATGCAGAAAGCAAATTTCGCGCCGAACAATTTTCCACATTTTGGCATATTAATTTTTTATTGTTGGCGTGAAATGGGGGGGAGTGAATTATACCCCCTCTTCATCACACTTCAGTGCGCAGCCATTTTATAGGTCTCCAACCTCCACCAGGACTTGCCTCCGTTGTGTTTTCGGCTCGTGTGTTCCATTATCCTATCCAAATAAACTGACTGACTCATCTTCAGTTTGTTCAATGTGTGTGCACAGCGAAATGTTTCGCAATTAAAGCGTGAATATTTGGGAAGGAAATGTTCTAAAAATCGAATTAAAAATATTACAAAAATTTGAGATTTTTGAAGTTTTAATAGGCTATTATGATATTATTTTTAAAAATCTTCAGAATATTAAAAAGGTTAGGGATGTGAATTTATAATAGACAATTTTCACTTCCAAAAAATAAAGGTATATTTATATTTAATTTTTACAGGTCAATTGGACAATTATTGTATAATATTTATTTTATTTCTAATTTTGATAAAATTTTCTTTTCGTTTACCCTGTGATTTTTTTTCTTTTTTTTTTACTTTAACTGCCATTGGCTTTCATCGTTGCTGTGGTTATTTTTTTTTTTTTTTTGGCTCGGACAGTTCGGCTTGCTCATAAAGAATTAATTGGCAATTAATTTTGATGACACTCCTCCACCAACTCCTTCCATTACGCACTTGACCATGTCCATGTCCACTCGCATTCTTGCTGTCGCTCCTACCATTTTCCTCCATTTTCCCCTCGCAATTTTCCTCTTCTACACACGCGTTTAACCTTTAAATCGCATTTACTTTTGACCTGCATATTAATTAATGAGTTAACGGCACGAGAGGAAAAAAAGGTCTTGTGCGGTCAATTATGCATAAAGTGCCATTTGGGGAATGATTTGTATTATATGTATGTGTTTAATTTGTTTGGGGTCAGGTCAGTCCTTAGTTGTCCAACCTGTACTTACATAATGCTTGTGGAATTTATAAAGA